ACCATTAATAATCACCAGGCTGCCGGCCGGGCCAAGAGCGGGCTCGTGGACGGGCCGGCCAGCCGATCGGGCGCAGGTAGAGTGTAGTAGATCCAAAGCGAGGGTGACTGCAAAAAAGCAAGCAATTCCGGCGCGAGCCGCTCGCGCTCTTGCCCGGCGGCAGCAGCGACTTTCCGTCTCCTTCTGTGCAGCTCTGCGCCGGGCGCGCGCTTAGAGACCAGGGCTCCTCACTAGTTTCCCTGTTTGCCTAACATCTTAAACCCAGAGGCCGCCTTCTCGGGGCAGTGATATCACCCGGCCCCCTTCTCTCTCCTCCTTCCATCCTTCCCCCGCTGTCGAGACTCGCTGCTGAGAGCAAGACTGACGCAGAGCGCAGCCAATCCGAAAGCGCAATGCCCAGGCGCCGGCTATAATAAGAACAGCCTATCAGAAACTTAGGGCAAGGCTCAATGGAACGCTTCGCTGTTCGCCCCTCTCTCCCCCCCATCCCCAACATCCCCTCCCTCTCGTCAAGTTTTCAAGCCATGCATTGCAAGTCAGCAAAGGGAAAATGGGAAAATCTAGGGACGGAGAGGAAATCCGTCGACGAGGCAATCTTATTACCTAGCTTTCAACCTGCAAAAATGCTTTCGCTTGCATTTATTTCGGAGACGCCTGCAAGCGGACCCGAAAGAAGTCCTGGACCCACTCAATAACCCAAGCTAGAAGACTTAAGATCTTCAAATCACTCCCTAGTACAAAGGACCTTTCCTTAGGTTAAAAGAAAGCAGGTATCCTGGAGGAGAAACGCAGCCTTGACAATTTTTGTCGCAACCTTGGACCCTTTGTTTCAGTGACTCAGAACAGAAACTGCACTTTTTAAAACAAGCAAAACAAGCAAAGGTGATCCAGGAGGAGACGGCCGTAGGAAAGCGTAGAAAAGCTTTTATCCGCTTAGGACCTCTGTGGTTCACACGGCTGTCAACTGCTATTATTACACTGAAGTAATATACTGTACAGTGTAACAAATGTCCCCAAATAGTTGCAAATATGATTAAAATTCCCGGTGGCTTTTAACTAATTCAGATAATTTTCACTGATTGTAATGTATTTTTTTATAATTATTTATCCATCAAATTCTGAAAGATCTTTGCAGTTAAACATATTTCATTCTTTTGTTTATAAGAAGCTAGTATCCAGCAGAATCCGGAAAAAACAAGCATAATTGGCGGTTGAGCCCATTTTTCCCCAGTAAAACCAAAATTGAGGTTTTGTCTGCCTAATTTAATATGCCACTATACTTTTGCAATGTCATCTTTTAAAAAATCCCTAAAAGTTACTCGACAAAAACATCATTTTCTTGTATTTTACTTTACAATGATGAAAAATAGAGTACTTGTAAGAGGAATGAAAAACCTCTAGACAAACCATATGTTGAAGACGTTCTGTTTAATTTGGTTCTCGCTTGGCGATTAATACAAGCCAGGTAAGTGTCATAGTGAACGAGACTCACCCGCAGAGAAAGGACCTTAGAATTTATATGCTTTACTGAGCCTTTAGCAGGAATTAACACTGCATTCCTTTATTCTCATGGAATTATATTTCCCACCCGCAAATACAGCATTGCAACTTTGACAGGACAAAAATGGGGTTTAAATCTCTTACAAAAACACACGAATTTGAACTAGCGTGCTTACACACCAGCAGCTCCACATTTCAGTGAACAAAACTAAATAAAACAGAAACACCGCTCTTATTCTATCACTCTCTGCAGGTGAAATTGACTTTTCGTTTTTAAAGGGTGGTGCTATATTACAATCTTTAGGGAAAGGCAAGAGAATCTCGCGTAGACCTTGCTTTGAACCGAGCTGGAGAGACTTATCTATCCTATAGTCTCTCCCTTGAGTGTGTGGGGCAGGTTGAATAGCCCCAGAACAAGGTTTTCTTTCTCTCTCTCCCGCAAGATCCAGTCGACTATGGTACCATCGGTTACCTAAAACGGGTGCCTTGCATTCGTCCCTTAGTTATCTGGAAAAAACACCCTCTTCAATCCGGATTACCAGTTATTAATCCCGGGGAGTTTGTAACAGCAACAGCAGGAGCACCTCTCTGCCAAGGTTGACTCAACCTGGTGGATTACAGAGCTGGGCGCAGCCTCGCAGGACAGGACCCCCCGTGCCTCGGTGATCGGGATGAACTCAAGCAAACGCCGTTGACCCCCGGACGTTGCCGTGGCAAGAATGCATGGGCCAGTCACTTTCAACCCAGCCCCGTTTCCACCGCCCCCCTGTAAGGAGGGACGGTGCCGGACCTCTTCTCGCCTTCACTGCTAAACTCCACGTATGATTTTAGTAGTCTGTTTGGTTAAAAAAAAAAAGAGGTCACATTAATTTACACGCTGCTCATTATCCACTCTTTAAACGACGAGGCTTTATCCCTGAGATTTGGCAGCGACTTGCCTCTCCTCAGGACCCCTCAGCGTTTGGATGCAGACAATTCTCTTACATTTTTAGTGGATTTTAAGCTGATAAGACTCTAATTTGCTTAAGTCTTTTAAATAGGAGCTTTAAATGATTCTAGCTCTTTTCTTATTGAATTTCTTCTAATTCCCCCAAGATCATAAAGTATATGTATAAAGTAAATAGTTTCTCCCTCAGCACCGCCAGCAGATGACCTATAAGTAAATCAATAAGAATCTGGAGCTTTTCTTCACAATTTGTTTACTAACCATAGCCCGGTTCTCCTTAACCTCCCAGGGCTACGAGGGGCTACACACACCACGTAAATCCCTCCAAGCCTTATTAAAGCAACGGATGCGGCGGTGGCGGCAGAAACTGCTCCGCCGCAGCGGACGTGGTTGGGAACTGGGGACAGAAAATGCCCCACCGCACCCCAAAACGGAGGCTAGGAATTTCTCCTCAAACTTCGGTGAGATTGGGAGAAAGGAAGAAGAATGAAGACATCAACGGCTGGAAATGGGCTAGGACATGAGGCTGGGTGAAGGAATATCATCCCTTCTCCAGTCACGCTGCAAATGGCTCTTTCCGCTGAAGAGGATGCATGCTTAATCCGAGAGCATCCCAACATTTGTCTTTAAACCAATCCCAAAGATACACCCTACTTCCATTACGCTGGGAGGGAGGGGGAGCCAATCCAAAGGACTCTGTGTTCACAAGGAGTCATTATAGCTACACAGATACACAGACGGAGGGGTATCACGCTTAGCACCTTTGCCTGGTAAGAAACCAGCACTTGTGGTCTGCAACCCTAAATATATCTACTCAGAAGCCAGCTCCACTGCTGTCAGTGGGGCTTCCAGCTAAGGGAGTATAAGGTTACTGCCTTGGCATTTTTGAGTTCAGAGCGGAAGTAGAGATGTGGACACATTCTGGGTAAAACAAGAAACACCAGTTAGTACTTCTTAAAAGAAACACATCACATAAAACTTCTGCTGCTCCTAAGGAAGATGCAAATCTCATGGATTTTGGGAAAACTAGTCCATGCAATCAGTGACAAATTTCAAGTGAAGGTGTTTAAACTGGGTTAAAGTTGAATTAATGGCTTTACTATGCATACTACAGAATATGGCCCAGTAAACTGTACAGAGTGGTCTGCCTTGTGGGGTGGAGAGTCTGAGGGAGGGCATTACCCTGCATAGAAATTGTGCGGCAGCAGACCCCATCTTGGTGCCCATGGGTGTATTGGATTTCAGCCCTTACAATCCCATTGTTATTTCAACACATTTTGGAGGGCACCGGGTTTTGAAAGACTCCTGCAGGCATTTCCCTATCTAGTTGAAGTGGGGGCATGACAGCCTGATATCCTATGATTCCTACTTGATTTAAAACCTCCTTGAGTGTGTGGATCTAATGTAATGCAATCTTATCTTATCTAATCTAATCTAATCATCCAGATCATGAAATCTAATTACTCTTAATTGGTAGCGACTCTTAAACAGAAGCCATTCACAAACTCTCTCCTATCTAGAGTTGGATTACTAGGGCTGAACCTGAATCTTCTCTATAGAAAAGGATCCACACTTTACCATTAACTTTAGATGTCTCCTTCCAAAATACCAGCAGTGGGAGAATGGGAATTAACATTTCCTGAATGGCTGCTCTGTCCAGATATGGCTTTGAAATTCCTAATTTTGAGGCAAAGACCAGCAGATGGCAAAAAGAAGCATCCAACATAACATACATTTAGATGATGGTGATGAAGAAGAAGAAGATGATGATGATGATGATGATGACCACAATCTGCTTCTGGACAAGAAGAGAGATTTATTCTAGATGATGTATCTGGGTTCCCACATCACAGTTGCCCATATTTATGTGAACAAAAGTTAATTAGTTCAACATTCTGGGTTCTCAGAAGGCTAGACTAGTGTCAGTGGTTGGTGGTTTAGTATGCCATGGGAATTTGTTCATTGCCTTAGCATGTTTTTGAATCAGGCCATTAAATATTTTATTTGGGCTATTTTATTTAACACATTAACATACCCCAGGCTCCCAGCAATGCTCCCAGGCCACTTCTGACAAAATTCCACAAACAACCATCAAATCCAAATAAAATACACCAAATATCATAAAACATTATAACATCATAAAACAAGAAATAGCCAGTAAAAAAAGCAGAAAAAAAACATGGCATCAGCATTCAAAGACACACAGCAGACTAAAACACCCACTGTATGAAAGGCTAACAAGGTTTTAATAAAAGAAAGAAAGAAAGAAAGAAAGAAAGAAAGAAAGAAAGAAAGAAAGAAAGAAAGAAAGGGCCATGCAGAGAGACATTGCACCATATAACAATTATGCTTTAGCATGTTGTCTGAATTCAGCTAGTCCAGTGTCTGGCACAAACACAAACTTCATTGGGAATAGCCTTATGCCAAACCAAGCCAGTGGCTGAGTATTTCCTAAATTAAAGGCAGGGAGTTTTCAGCTGGATGTCAGAGATGGGCTTTGGACTTTTGGTATGTTAAGAATAT